GATGGATTTGATACTAATATAGTGTCATTCCAAATATGTATTACTTTGTTGATATGATATTAAATTATACTTAATTTTCATTGAGTGGTCAATATACTTTGTTGAGTACCAGACAGTTCACTAGGGTAAATTCAAGAAAGAAGGTGAAATCCATAACCTCAATAGGCACTTAATTTTATAATCATATCAATAAATAATTAGAATGCCACTTGTTAATGAATTGACTGGAGTCCAGGGGAAGAATTTATTCATACTCTGAGGGTATCATAGAAGGCTTAAAACAAAAATAGACATTTACCAGAGTTAAATGATAGAAAACTATACTCTAGGTTAAAGTAACCTCTTTTGAATGCTATTTTCAAGAAAGAAACGTAAGAGTTAATGTTCCTATGCATACAACTGTTATAGGGAATGATTGTATCATGAGGAAGAAATTGAAAATAGCCATATAAAAATTGTCAAACTATTTTTTTCATGAGCTGAATCAATTTTGTAAGAGATAAATTAAAACATATATTTCTCTCATGTACAACCATTTATAATGTGCCAACAGTATTGTGATAACTACACACATATTCTATGTAATTTTTCATACTTTACATGTGTGCTATCATTGTTCTAAGTTACATGAACAAAACTTCATAAACTACGTAATTTTATCTCTTATTTCAATTATACAGATGAAGAAAATGAACCACAGAGAGCTTAAGAATTTTTCCAAGGAATAGACTAGCCAAGGTTAGAGGGGAAAAGGATTGGGAGGGATTGGATGAGAGAAAGTAAAGAGATTAATTAGCCAAAGAACACAGATGCCATGGACACAGACAATAGTGTGGTGATAGCCAGAGGGAGGGTATGGAGGGTTGGGTGGAAGTGGTAAAGGAGAATAGGAGAATGGGGGACAGCTGTAATAGTGTCACAAATAACTAAGTGAAGGAAGGAAGGAAAGAAGAAAGGAAGAAAGGAAGGAAGGAAGGAAGGAAGGAAGGAAGGAAGGAAGGAAGGAAGGAAGGAAGGAAGGAAGGAAGGAAGGAAGGAAGGGACAAAAATCAAATAACAAAACAAAAGCCCACCAGGGCTTACCTCTGGTCAACAACAAACAAAAAAAGAATTTTTCCAGAATTATCAGGAGATTTAAAATATATATATATTTTTATTGATTTCAGAGAGGAAGGGGAGAGAGGCTGTGTGTTAGAGACATCAATGATAATGTTTCAGGGGATCGAGCCCATACCAGAGACCCCACAGTCCACAGGCCGGTGCTTTATCCAAACCAGCTGGGGCATCAGGGGATTTTTTTGTTAGTGGTATTGTTAACAGTATTACATATGTACCCCAATTCCCACTCCCGCCCTCCCCCCCCCCCACCCTTTTACCTCTTCCTCCCAGCCCTTGTCCTGCCCCAGGCCTTCACCACACTATTGTCTCTGCCAATTGGTTAGGAATACATGTATGTAAATCCTTTGTTAGATTTCTTCCTATGTCCAAAGTCCCCACCCCCCACACCCCACACCCCGAGATATGTCAATCTCTCTCATACCTCCATGCCTCTAGACCTATTTTGTTTGACTGTTTCTTAGTATATTCATTAGATTCCACTTGTGAGATCATGTGATATTTGTATTTCTCTGACTGGCTTATTTCACTCAGCATAATATTTTCTGTGTTGACCAAAACATCATTATGAAGTACATAACTTGATACACGATGAAATGCAAAATTCCTCATTATAGTACAATTACAGAATATACTTATAACCCCAAAATATACCCCATGCTCATTCAAGAGCCATGTCACTTTCTTCCCTTCCTCTAGCCCAGTAACTTACCTTTGCCTCTATGAACTGCTTAATCTGGACATTTAACATAAATAGAATCACACATGATGTGGACTTTTGTGTCTGACTTTCTTCAGTAATATAATGTTTACAAGGTTCGTCCATGCTGTAGCATATATTAGTACTTCATTCCTTTTTATGCCCAAATTAAGGTCCAATATATGAATATGCCACATTTTGTTTATCCATTTATCACTTGGAGGATATTTAGCTATTGTGCATAATGCTTCTATACACATGTGCATACAAGTATTTTTGTGAACATGTGTTTTCAAGTCCTAGAAGTAGAATTGTTGGTTTGTTGGGTCATATGGTAACTTTTTTGAGGAAGTGTCAAACTGTTTCATGAGTAGCTACACACTTTCAAGGACCCATCAATAATATATAAATCCCCTAGCAGTGCTAAAGTGGCTGTTATTATATTTTTTATTTGCATTTCCCTAATGACTACTTATTTGAACATCTTTTTATGTGCTTTTTTGCCCAGTTATATGTCTTCTTTGAATAAATGTCCAATGAAGCTCTTTTCCTATTTTTGTTGAGTTTTTGTTTTATTAATTGTTCATTTGTAAGATTTATTTTAAATAAATTTAACTAAGAAAGTGCAGGACTTACAAAAAGAAATGACAAAATTTTTTAAAAAGACATTAAAAAAGAACTGAATTGTTATATTGTAAATCAGAAGACGCCTTAATCAATAAGCCAAATTTATTTGGAGTCCTGTTTTGCTACCGCTAACTAGCCCAGAGAAAATCTCGCTTCTCAAATTCTGGGGTCCAATATGGTAGAAGTTTCCCTTATTTATACGTTTTTCAGCTCTTTCTCTCCCAAATTTGGAATGAAACTTCCGGATCTTCTGAGAAAAAGTCCTGTGTGCTAGTACTGGGTAGTGAGACCATATCTCAAGGCCTTGCCTAAGGCCAGCACTGACAACTCTATCTGGGGTATAGTTTATGGCCTCTCTGGAATGGGAGTAGTTTTATTTTCCCAATTATTTAAGCAAGCAAATGTTTACAGAAGCTAGAATAGCGAGATTAAAATTTTAAATAGCTGTTTTTCCAAGATGGAGGTTACTATGCTTCAGAATAAATGAAAAGACATTTATATTCATGGATAGTAGACTAACAAAGTTAATTAAGATAGCAATACTTCCCAAGCTGATTTATAGGTCCACTATAATTCTTATATTAATTCCAACTGTTCTTTTTGCATAAATGAGCAAGCTAATCTAAACAATACATGGAATTGTTAGGGACTCTGAAGAGCCAAAATACTGAAAAAGAGAAACTAACAAACAGAGAAACAAACAAAAGTCATACATTTCAGTTTCAAAACTTACTATAAAGCTACAGTATTTAAGGCAGTATGATTCTGGCATAACAATAACTATACAAAGTGATGAAATAGAATCCTTGGGATAAATCTGTGTAATTTTGGATTAGGCAATGATTTCTTAAATATAACACCAAAAGCACAAGCTAACAACAAGAAAAATAGGTAAATTTGACTTCATCAAAATTAAGATTTTGATGATCAAAGGACACTATCAAGAAAGTGAAAAGTATAACCCCAAGATTAAAAAAATGTTTATTAATAATTTATCTAATAAGGGTCTAGTAGATTTTAAAAAGCTCATTGGAAGGCAAACTGTGGATGAGGCTTTCAGGGCCTTGAAGATAATAACATGGGCTCCCTTCATTCTACAGTATTTGCCATAGGAAAGCAGTGTTGGCTTCCAAATTTTTAACTGAACCAAAACACAAATCTGAACTTAAATTATTTCTATTCCAGGCCACATGGATAATCATTATACCATGGAATATCTTAATGATTTTTTTTTTACTCATATTTCTCTGTTGGCATTTTATATCCAATACGGAACTCTATATTTCTTAGGGATTTCTTTTCAGGTCACTTTCTTTTTTATTAATCTGTCAGGTTATCAATACTGCTCCTTTCTTAAAAGACATCAAATACACAAGTGAGTATGTGCAAGAGTTAGCCAAAGGGAAGTCCCAAGAAGATTCAACTCAATTTTAAATGCTCCTTTCATTTATTTAATATATCCAAAAGGTTAACAGTTCTACTTAGTTTGTTCTCCTGAATATCTCTAGAGACATCTCCTGGAACTTCAGATTCATTGCCACTATTAAAATTTAACTCTCAAATAACTCATTTACTTAAAAACATTAGCCTTCTTCCTGATTCCAACATCTAAAAAATTAATTCTCAATGCAGCCAACAAAACAATATTTCTGAAATAAAAGTATGATCACATAATCACAGAATAGAAAAAACACACACACAAAAACACCTCTCATATAAACCCCCTGCCTGAGAATCACCTGTAGTCCATGTTTCTACACTGTACTCTAGATAAATTAAAAACCTATTTTACGGATAAGAACCTAGAGACTTTGCATTAAAATAATCTGATCAGGTAGGTGACTCTTATTCACTTCAAGATTTCAGGTTTATTTACCAAATAAAGTCTTAGTGCATGTTAGGACATACAAGCTTTTTATTATTTGAAGCCTACCTCTTTTTTCTTAACTGTTAAATACTGTCTTAACTGAGGCAACCTTTTCCCTCAAGGGCAGTTAACATTCATTGAGAATTCTGTCTAGGCCAGATGCAAACCTAGAATCACTTTAGACATACTTTGTCATTTTCAAAATAACTTTATAAAATAAAAATTATTATTATTATATCTACTTTATAACTGGAGAAACTTTAGGAACAAAAATTTTGAGAAATGTGGTCAGGCACACATATATGTCCGGATTTAAACCCTTGCTGATTTGCTGAAAAATCTGCACTCTGAATTATAAGGTTGCCAGTGACCTATGAAGTACTTCCTAGAGCCAGTGTATGTGGATATTCCTGTCTGTGAAATCTCTGATGATTAATATATAGTTAAAGTAGTTTTGAGGAGACCACTACCATGTCTTAGAGTGCAAATAACATATAATACTTGTGTTGATATCTTGAAAATGTGACTCTTACTCTAGCACAGAAAGGAATGCTAATCATAGAGAGAAATAGGAAGGAAGAGGTGCATTGTGCTAAAAGGTTAAAATGTTATGAGAGGGCTAACTCACTAAAAGACAGATTAAGTAAACCAGTAAAATTTTTATTTTACCCTTTTTCTCCAATTTTCCCCTCATTTTTTGAAGAAAATGGAAATCTTTTGGAGTGTATCCTTGAAGGCTTGTTTCACTTGCTGGTTCCTTAAAGTGTAAATGAAAGGATTTAATAAAGGGGCAACAGAGGTATAGATAACAGCTACACCTTTGGATAAAGTCACTCTTTCCTTTGCTGAGGGCTTCATGTAAATAAAGATGCAGCTACCGTAAGTAAGGGAGACCACAATCATATGAGAAGAGCAAGTGGAAAAAGCCTTTGTTCTTTTCTGGGCAGAGGGGATGCTTAGAATAGTCTTGATAATATATGCATAGGAGAGCATCACTAACAGCAATGTGACCACAAGTGTCACAACAGCTGAGACAAATGAAAGTAATTCTAGGAGACGAGTGTCTGTGCAAGAAATCTGCAGCACAGGAGAAGTGTCGCATATGAAATGGTCGATGACTTTGGAAGCACAGAATTCCAATTTCAGTCCCAAGACCAATGGTGGAAAGGTAATCAGAAAGCCAGCTGCCCATGAACTGAATACAAGGTGGTAGCACACTTTGTTGCTCATAAGAGTCAGGTAATGTAGGGGTTTGCAGATTGCTACATAACGATCATAAGACATCGCAGCCAGTAGATAAAATTCTGTAACCCCCAATAAGAGGAAAAAGAATAACTGAGATGCACAACCGTTATAGGAAATAATTTTGTTTTTAGTCACTATGCTTCTCAGGAATCTGGGGATACAGATTGTTGTCAATGAAACCTCCAAGAAGGAGAAATTTCGCAGAAAGAAATACATAGGAGTTTTGAGACGGGAATCCAGCAGGGTAAGGAGGATTATGGATAAATTCCCCATCACACTAAACATATAGTTTAGAAAGAGAAATATAAAAATCACAATTTGCAGTTGAGGGTCATCAGTAAGTCCCAGGAGAATGAACTCTATGCTTGACTGATTCTGCATTTCAGATTTGAGGCTATTAAATAGATATAGAAAAAGAACTACAAAAGTGGAAAAAATAGGAATTTATAAAACTACAGACATAGAAAAAAATATTCAGAATTGTAAAGAAGTTTAAAAGATTGATTCAATTTGATAAGAGAGATGATATAGAAAATTAAAGCATAGATAACCTAAGCAGCTTCTAATTGACTGTTTCATTTAAAACAGTTATCTGTTTATAATGCTACTTCTTTTCCCCATTTGAACTTGAAAGATAATTTAAATTTTAGCTGATCATTTTTAGGTGCGTTTAACACAGCTATATCAGGGTTAATATGCAATGTTTATTCAAAATTCCTTACTTCATCAAAACAAGTTTTAAATATGTGGAACATATAGAAACAATAAAGTTACATATCCTCTATAATTGAAATATTGTAATATATATTAATTACTTCTTCCCAATGTGATTCTTTTCCATTTTTCCTTATCTCATTTCATGTAATTGTTATTTTTCTTTAATTTCAAATGTATCATTCTTCTCATCAGTTGGATTTAATAAAGATGTTTTGATTATTCAATCTGTATTAAAATAGAAAAATATATAATAATTCAAAAGTCAGTACATATTACTTTACTCATACTTCAGAATTGCTTTCATACATGATCAAGATAATTATCCCAAATTATAAGTGACTTACCATGGTAATGTATATTGATATAATTCTCTCGTGGAAATATGGTAAAATCAAGAGTCAAAATAAATTGTGAATATCTCTTTCTTGTAATATTATAAAATATTCCATTATTTCAAGAGTAAATTTAATTTCAATTGTTTTTTGGAGAAGAATTTGAGACAATGCAATCTAAAAATTATATACGTCTGCTAATATCTTCCACCTTCATTCACACTCATTAAAACTACAGACCTAGGTATTATAGATAATTCCATTAGAATATCCTTTTATGCCAGATAATATTTTTTTTCTGTGTTTATCTTACATATTTTAATTTTTTTAAATTTCCATAAAACTTCTAAATGAAAAGGTGATGCTCTAGATTTTCTGGGAAATCTCAAATGAAAGGACCTCAAATTTGTAATAAAGAATAACTGCTTCCAATTGAACACCAATAAAAGCCACAGTTTTATCATTTTGCTTATAAAATACACCAAGGGATTAATTGAAATAAAAAGAGGAAAGAAAAAGAAATGCCCTCGGGAGACTAGTGTTAGGACATACCAATTATGAAAAAGAGAGATAGATGAGAAAACAAAGAAAGAAGGAAATAAAAACCACTGCAAATTGCTTTAACTATAAAACTGAGGAACACTATCCCAAAAGAGATATACTAGAAATAATTTAAACTCTATACTTAATGCAAACAAGAATTTCAGATTTTTCACTGGGACAATATGGCCAATTCTATTGGTAAGAAAATTTACCCTAAAAAGAGCCTCTCTCATTTCCATTAGTCTATGTGTTAGGTTTACATTAACTTGGTTGTGACACATCCCCCCCCCCCCCAAAAAAAAAACAAAAAAACAAAAAAAACAAAAAACTGGGATAAAGGGAGGCAGGTCTTAAATGTTTCCCTATTTCCCCATTATTTTCGAAACAATCTATAATAATAAAAGCATAATCTACTAATTAGACAGGACAGCTGAATGACCTTCTGGACATTCTGGATGTCCTTCCGGAAAAAGCCACCATGGAACAGGCCAAGGCAGAGGCAGGCAGGCAAGTGGTTAGAGGCAATGAGGCAGGCAGGCAGGCTAGTGGTTAGAAACCAGTGGTCCTACATTGCGAGAGGGATGTCTGACTGCTGATTTAGGCACGATCCCATAAGAATCCCCCTCACCCCATGCATGAATTTCATGTACCAGACCTCTAGTATAAAACATAAAGAAAAATAACAACAAATACACAATGAGGATCTTTTATTCTTGACTATTTATTTGGTGCTCCGTCTGCTATTCCACACAGTAGCATGTATATATGACAAAAGGTCATATTTTGCAGATCATAATCATTTTGGGCTGCAAATATTGACACTCATTTTGTGGATTATAGTTTCATCATTTTTCTGATGTTTTCAGAAAACTGTCACAGCTATTTCTCTGCCTATAATGCTCTTAAGATCTAATTCTTCATAATTTTATTGCATATACAAGTCTAATTTGGCAATTTTTTCATATTTTTGATATTAAACTAACTCTGTATAACAAAGTTGCTGTTTAATTATTATTTGCATATGTAACTAGTCTATCTTTATTTTCTGAATGCCCTTAAGATGCTACCTTTATCCTTACAATTTTAGCAGTTCCTACTCATGTATTCCTACTTGATTTCCCTCCTCATGGATTTCTTTTTATTTAACTTGCTTAATTTATTTTTGAAAAAGGGAAGAAAATACTCTTATTTATGACAATAGTGTATTGTCTTAATTTATGTTCAATTTCTTTACCACTTAATTTTTATATTGCATTGATAGTAAATGATAATGTGATATTTGTAATAGTATATTAAACACATAGATGATAGTTGGTAAACTCATTATTATGATTTTATGGCAACCAAAGGATCAAATATACAAACTGAAAATTGTCAGGGACTAGAAGGTGGGTACAAAATTTAAATGCTAGTTAAAGGGTACAAAATTCTAGTAATCAGATAAATGAATAAGTATAAGGAACTAATATACAGCATGATGACTATAGTTATAATACAGTATCATATACTTAAAAGTGACTGAGTAGATCTTAAATGTTCTCACCACACACACCCACACACACACACCACACACACACACACACACACACACACACACACACACACACATACACACCACACACACACAAATTAAAATTAGCCCTGGCTGGTTTTGCTCAGTGGATATAGCATCTGCCTGCAGACTAAAGGGTCTCGGATTCAATTCTGGTCCAAGGGCATGTACCTTGGTTGTGGGCACATGCCCAGGAAGAGGTGTGCAGGAGGCAGCAGATCGATGTTTCTCTCTTATGGATGTTTCTAACTCTCTATCCCTTCCCCCTCATCTCTATAAAAAACAATAATATATATTTTTAAAAATTAAAATTATGTGTGCTAAACTTGCCCTAACCTACTGGGAAAAATAATTACTTTAGTAGTAATATAATTTATTTTCCTACTTTTATTATTCTTCTTTCTCATTCTTCACTCCATATAAAGTCCATCTACTGCCCTTCTGTGTAATACAGTTGGTTGGAGTATTGTCCCATACACTAGAATGTTACAGGTTCAATTACCATTCATGACACATACCCAGGTTGCAAGTATGATCCCTGGTTGAAGCATGGATGAGAGGTAACCCATCAATGTTTCTCTGTCTTCTTTCCTCTCTCTAAAAATCAATAAAAAAATATTGTCAGGTGAGGATTAAAAGAAAAAAAAATATCCACTGTGTACTGTAGAAACACATCTCTCAGTAAGGGTGCCAAATGTGTCTAAAGTAATATGAATGTTTTACTTGGATTGAATAATCACGTTATAATCTTCCAATAATGTGCTAAAAGGGAGCAAACTGAACAAGAAAGTGCAAAACAAATTTCATGTCTCTTAACTGGCCCCTAATGCTGACATTACTCTTTTAATTTTTAGTAAATTTATTGACATGATATTGTTTAATAGAAATATATAGGTTTCAAGTGTACAATTTTATGATACATCATCTGTTTATTGTACTGGCTCCTACCACCCAAAGATAGATCTTATCTGTCACAATGTATTTGATACTTTTCCCCCTTACTACCTCTCTATACTTCTTCCCTCTCATAACCATCACTGACATCACTCTTTGGGCAGAACCAATAATAGAAGCAAAGATTTGCAATTTCTGAGACCATTATTTTTATTATTTTCAAAGTACTTGCATTCAACTGTATGTTTTCAACCCATCCTATCTAATAAAAGAGTAATAATGCAAATTGACTGTCACTTCAACACACAGGATGGCCACCCCATGTGGTCAAAATGGCCACCCCCATGTGGGTACAAGATGGCTGCCCAAGGTGGCCAGCAGGGGAGGACAGTTGGGAGGGACCAGGTCTACAGGGGAGGGCAGTTGGGGGCAACCTGGGCTTCAGAGGAGGACAGTTAGGGGCGACCAGGCTGGCAGGGGAGGGCAGTTAGGGGTAATAAGGCCAGCAGGGGAGCAATTAGGCATTGATCAGGCTGGCAGGCAGAAGTGGTTAGGGTCAATCAGGCAGGCATGCAGGTGACTGGTTGGGTGCCAGCAGTCCTGGATGGTCAGAGAAATCCCAGATTGCACGTTGGGCTTAGTATAATGTAAATGTTCTCTGTCCTCATTATGACTGACAATATTTGTCCAAATCCATTCATTTAAAATAATTGTATGCACTTTTATGTAAGGTACTAGTGGCCTGGTGCACAAATTCGTGCACATTGAAAGGAAACAAATTAGAAGAAATATTTTAATATCACTATTCACTCTTTCTCTGTAATAGAAGTGTCAACCAAATTCATGATCAATTGACAATGACAGATGGAAACACACATGTGCAATTGGCGCTAGCAAGAGATTTGTGTGATGCATGCTCAAGTCCACTTAGCTATTTATAGACATAGAATACACTTGCTTAATTAGAGCTACTTTCTGATTTAGCTAAACTTTTTTCCAGCCCAGTGAAACACTCCAACTTCTCTTTCAAGTAATTGTCAGAAATACAGCAGTAAATACCAATATGAGTTGGATTATTATTATAGATCCTATGCAGGGAGAACAAAGGGTGAAATATTTAACTGCAGCAGTGTTTGACTACGTTCTGTATAGTGAGAAAACCTGAAGTCATTTTCAAGTCCACCATTTCTTATTTCTTTTCAGTCCAGTCAAGCTTCTAAGCTTTCTAAATCTCCATTTTCTGTCTAATGAAAATGGGATTTCACCAAATCTCCTATCTACCTACTCAAGGAGTTTTGTGAGGATCAAATGAGATGAGGCACAAGAAAATGCTTCACAGACAT